GAGAGAGTTAACCACACACTGAGGAGCTCACCGATTCACCCCATACCCCACCTCCATCACATCGCTGCTCTCATTGTAACACACTAACTTTAAAGCCTTCCAACCCAAAGCTTTTAATATATATATAATTTGATTTGTGTGAGTGTTTTGCCTCCATGCCTGTCTGTGCACCACATGAATACAGTACCTGCACAGGCCAGAAGAGGCTGCTGGATCCCCTAGAACAGGCACTACAGATGGTTGTGAGCCACCTTGTGGATGGTGGGAACCAAACCCAGATCCTCTGCCAGAGCAGTAAGCGCTCTTAACAGCTGAGCAGTCTCTCCGGCTCCCAACCCAAAGCTCTTTAACCCAGGGCCCCTGAGTCTCTTCAGATTCTGGCCATACGTTGTCTTAGAATTATGAGCAAAGTTGAATATGAATGTGCATGCATGTGCCTTGTGTGATAGTTCCAGGATACACCACCAGGTTCTAATCCTCAAACTAGGAATTATTAGTTTTTCTAAACCTGCAGAATTTCCTTGTTTTTCAATGCAAGGTTACGCGCACGATGGAACAAGGAGTTTCCCAGGCCCTGTGTGAAACACAGAGAAGAGTGGGAATGTGGTACGTTCTTCCAGGCCAAGAAAGACAGTTTTATTATGCAACTTTTATCTATCTCGAGCAGATTCTGTTTGGATTACATTTACTTATTTAGTGTGTGTGTGTGTGTGTGTGTGTGTGTGTGTGTGTGTGTGTGTGTACTGGCAGGTGCCATGGTACACATGCGTGGGGACAACTTACAGGAGTGAGTTTCCTCCTCCCACCATATGGATGCTAGGCACCAAACAGGCCGCCAGGCTTGGCCGCAAGCACCTTTATCTGCTAAGCCATCTCACTGGCCCCAGAATTAGTTGTTGTTTTGTTTTTTCAAGACGGGGTTTCTCTACGTAGCCTTGGCTGTCCTGGGCTTGCTTTGTAGACCAGGCTGGTCTCAAACTCACAGCAATCCTCCTGCCTTTGCCTCCCAAGTGCTGGAATTAAAGGCGTGTGCCACCATGCCAGGCTTTGGCCCTCAGATTTGATAAGCACATATTCTCCATGGCTAAATGTCTGTAGGGCAGGGATCGATTTAATCTTGAGGGGAATGGGGGGAGTTTAAAATGCTTCCCTTTCTCTGTGTTTTAAGTTCCCTTGGGCTTCTGAGAGTTCACCTGCCACTGCTGCCCCAGGACCCCGTTCTTGAGTCACATTGGTCCCCAGAGACCCATGCTCCCATTGCTCCCATTGCTCCAGCTAGACTCTGCCGGACGTCAATGCTCCAACCCACTCTGTCTTGTCTTTGAGAGTCTTTCTCACCCTCTATGTCCTCCCCTGGACAGTCTTGGCAAGAACTAGTGTGCCTTTCCGGAGGTAGGTGCAACAATTTAAGATGGCCGGCAACGGTCAGTCACAACTGCACACACTGTGTAGCCCTGGCTGATAGAATGATATCTTGGTTCCCTTGGTGGCTTGGGTGCGAGGACTGTGGCCAAAAGGACCTGTGTTCTTCACCTCTGACCCTTCACCTCTGTGGGCCTCAGTTTTCTCGTGTGTAAAGTGGAGACAGGTAGCCTAGAACCACTGGGTGGTTGCTAAGCAACCCACAGAGCAACTACATCTTAATATACCTTTCTGATTGGTGCCGGGAAAGGTACATCATTAGGAATGGAACAGATGACCCCAGACTTGGCTGAGAAAGCAGAGCCTACTGCCCACACATGGGAAGACATCCTTGAGAGAAGAGGGTACCAAATCTGGCACCCCAAAAAGACTTAACAGAGATGGTTAAGGAACTTGAGACCCCAATTGGAGAGTCTCTAGGGACGAGAGAGCTCAGGTCCTGGGTGACAGGCAGAAACCTCAGGAAAATGGCCATTTGCCCACATCCAAAAGAGCCCAGATGGGCCTGGTGGGAAGAGACAATGCCATCTTGCCCTTGCTGCTGCAGGTTTTGGGATCAGAGCATAGGAGGACAAGTTCCCAGAATTCTGGGAATGAGTCCTGCAGAGGTGGCGGGCTCACGGGCTCCTCCAACGAACAGACTACATATATGCACACCTTTCACCCCAAGCTCTCCATCACCCCATTCCCATTCCTCTCCCACCCACTGCCCAGTGCCCACAGAATAGAACACAGGCATGACAACGGTGTAGAACGTGCTATACAAAAAAAAATATATAATTAGCCTGAGGGAAGGGTTTGGGATACAATGGTGGGGGTCACAGCATCCGGCCCACCCCAGTGCAAGGAGAACCAGGCGGGGCTGAGGCAGTAAACAGTCAGAGGAGGTGAGACACAGCAGTACCTGGGGCCCTGAGAAAGACGAGTCGGCACTTGGAGGTGGCCCCAGGCCTGGGCCCAGAAAACAAGAAGGCTGGGGGTAGACTCAGGGTCCTGCTGGGAAAGAAGCCACCTCCTCCACACTCAGAACTGGGTGTGCATGGAAACGGCACCTCCAGATAGAAGACAGAGGTCTCTGGGGGGGTCTTCCCTCTGCCAAGTCAAGGGAATTCAAGGAGCTAAAGGCATTCTCCCTGCTCTCCAAGCTGAAGTCTGGGAATGGAATCACTGCTGACAGGAGGGGCATATCTGTGGAAGGGTGGATGTGAACCTTGTATGCACGTGGCTTCTAAGGGACCTAACTACACCCATGACCTTGGAAGAACTGTGGAAGAACTGTGAGGACACATTCTGGGGACCTCTGGGCTAGCTTTTGCTGCGGTTTTCACCTCTGTACCATCACAGGACTGGACACACAGTGAGTTCTCATTTCCTCATGATCCATGCACAATCAAGGGCAGCCCAGACCCCTCCAGACCCTAAGGGAATCCTCTGACCAGAGAGAGGAAGGGAGAGAGAGGAGGAGGAAGAGGAGGAAAGGAGAGGAGAGGAGAGGAGAGGAGAGGAGAGGAGAGGAGAGGAGAGGAGAAGAGAGCTCCTTGGAGCCTGGGTACAATAGGGACCTCATGTTCTTTACAGCCTCCAGGATCATCCTCACAGAACTTTTCCACACTGGGCCTGACAGGCCCCTGCCTGTCTAAGCCTGGGAGACTCTGAGGCAGTTAGCAGATGCCATTCTGCAGCCAACTGTGACTTCTAGGCCTTGAGTGGGGAATGAGGGCATCATACTGATAAATCTTGCATCTAAGCCTCCTGAACCTCTGGTGACCCCGGTGAGACCAGGCTGCATAGTGGAGTTGGGTGAAGCTAAAGGAGATAGTCTGGGCCCCTGGAATGACTTGGAAAGAGGACTAGTCACACCAGCCTGGCTTTCCAGCTGTGGCCATGGCCAGCGGGTAAAAGAGAGGGGGCTGGCCTTTCATGTGAGGGGATGCGCTGGGGAGTGAATGTTGGGGCATTTGGCTGAAGAGTCTGGCTGGGGAACCTCCTTGGGTATATGGAGAGGTATCCAAACTCTTCTAGTACAGTAAGCAGGAAGCAATGTTTCCAGCCTGAGGAAAAAAGAGCTATCACACACACTCACACAGGCACACACTCACACATATCCAAGAATGCTGGAGAGGACGGGCGGGGGAGGGGGGGGACTGCAAGGGCCCCCCCCCCCCCCCCCCCCGCTCTATTTCTAACTCAGCTGTGATGTCATCTGGTCTCCAGTTCGTGATCTCCTTCCAGGGCTGACCTTCCACCCGTCCTCTTGCAATTGGGGCTTTTCAGTGAAGGTGGCTCAGGGGCTCCAGCACGCCTCAGAAGCGATGCTCTGGGATGCTGTGCTCCGCCTGGTGCCTCTGCTTCAGGGTGTGGACAGGGTTTTGAGTGGAAAGACCCATGTGCCCCTTACCCCTGGAGAAGGGGCTGCAGGGGTGGCAACTGTGAGGACCTCTCGGCCCCACCATGGGTTGTGGCAACTTGCAATTCATTTGGTCTGAGGAGAGGAGCCCTTTCATCTGTGGAGAAAGAGACACACAGAACCTGGGCTTAGAAGACAGCCTTCAAAGACTTCATTTCCTTCCAAGACCAGCCACCCTGGTGGCTTAGCCACCCCTCTCTTCCACAGGAATGGGGGATGCTGACTCCCCTATCCCCTGAATCAGGAGCCACACTGCCTTCCCACAGCCACCCCGGCCCTAGGCATTTGGAGTAAAGGCCTTAGATACCAAATGGAAGGTCAGCGGGCTTGCGGGATGCTAAAGTGGACAGGAGACGCAGGGAAGTATTCAGGCAGCTATGGTTGCTTTTCTATGAATACAACTGTGCGCCCAAGGCTGCTGTTGGACCTGTTGGCGCAGAGACGGTGAGTGACACACATCTGCCTTGAGAATGTGGGCAAATGAGATGGATGCTGTGCCATGCGCTCCTTCCCGGGGCAGCTGTCTGCTCCCCAGGCTCTAGAGCCAACCTGATCGACCCAAGATCAGGTCATCTTGGCACAGAGCAGCGGGAAGGCCTGGGCTGCGCCACCATCTAATCCCTGACCCTCCACTTGCTCACTGGGAATGGACTCAGGATTCAACCAAAGCGCTTGCTCAAGAGTGCTGAAGAGTGGCAGAACTCAAAAACACCCCAGCCTTGAGGCTGGTGGTGTGTCTCAGTGGGTAGAGAGTGCTCCTCAGCACGCACCAAGCCCTGGGTTCAGACCCCGCCACTTGGAAGACGGGGTAAGAGGGTCAGATATTCAAGGTCAGTCTCAGCTACACAAGTTCAAGGCCACGTTGGGCTACATAAGACCCGTTTATAAGGCTTTTAAAATCCTAGGCTTGATTACTATAAATGTATCCCATCCATACTAAAATGTTCGTTTTCCCTCATTTGGGTTACCCCAGAACCGAGTGTCAACTGTGATAAGAAAGTGTCCAATTATTAAAAAATTGGCAGGTTCCTTCCTCCCCCCCCCCCAAACTGGTGATAAATACAACAACGGGGCCTCCTGTAGTTGGTTACAGCTTGATTTTTATGCAATATGATGTTAAGCCCCCTCCCATTCCTGGAAAGGTCGAGCCCGCCCTCCTCCAGACTGACACTCACAGCTCTGTGTCCTCCAGGGCCAGGGGTCGCTCCAGCGCCTGCCTGCGCCTCCTCACGGCCCCCAGGATCTTCTTCCGAGGCCCCAGGGGCACGCTGATACTGCGGAGGTCGAGGTCGGAGCACAGCATCAGCGCCTCCAGGTCAATCTTCTCCTGCCGCAGGAGGGAGGCAAAGTCCTCCATGTGCAGCGAGGCCAGGAAGGTCTCCAAGGGGCTGGTCTCAGGCTCCAGGTCCTCATCCAAGCCCAGGTCTAGTTCGTCCCAGGGCAACTCTTCCCCGCAGCTGCGCTCCTGCAAGCTGTTGGCACTGCCCAGGCTGTCGTCGTCCAGGCTAGGGGAACTCTGCAGCCGACCCCGCGGCGTGCCTGCCCCATCCAAGCCCCCGTCCTCTCGGCCCAGCCCGTGCAGCCCGCTGCTCAGGTAGTTCCTTCGAAACACCATTGTCCCCAGGCCGGGGCGGGTAAACAGGGAGTCGTGGCCTGAGTCAGTGCTGACCTCCGAGTGGGCAGGCTCGGCAGCCAGCGTGGCACGGGAGACGCTGTCCTCGTCCGAGAGGAACATGTCCCTGAGAGGGGCACGGCCCCACTCCTTGGGGTTGGCGTAGGTGCCCTGGCGCACGAACATCACGTCACTACCCAGCTGCAGGCCGGAGAGCGAGCGCACGCTTTTGCGTCCGTCCTCGGAGACCTTGAAGGTGCCCTCGCCGCCCTGCTTGCGCCTCTCCAACTTCTTCTGGATCTTGGCTTTGCCCTTGGCCGTGCCGTGCAGCGTGGCCTGCGAGTAGGGCAGCTGGTTGGCCAGCGTCAGGTGCTGCAGCCGGCGGCTCAGGGTGCTGGACGTGAGGCTGGAGAAGCTGAGCGTGTCGGAGCGCTCGGCCAGCTCGCGCCGGTAGCGCCGCTCCATGCGCTCGTGGTGCTTGCGCTGCATTTTGGCGCACTCGCGGATTCGCCGCTCCGCCTCGCGGAAGGCCTTGTCCTTCAGCTTGCCCACCAGCTTGGGGTTGAGGCTGCTCTGCTTGGCCGCGATGGAGTCCAGATAACGCACACACTCCATGTGGCCCTTCATGGCAGCCATGTCCAGAGGCGTGTGGTAGTCATTGTCCAGGCACCAGATGTTGGCCCCGAACGACACGAGGAAGGACAGGCAGTGCAGGTGACCATTGGAAGCTGCCAGATGCAAGGGCGTGTTTCCCCAGATGTCACACTTATCCGGGTCGCCCCTGGAGAGAGAGCGTGGAGAGAAAGGATGAGTCCTTTTAGCAAGCCAGACCGTGAGCTCTGATTGGAGGTGTAAGGAATCTGGGGACGGGATTGGAGGGTAGGGGTGGAGATGGGGGAGCGGGAGGGTACCCGGAAAAATGAAGGAAAGACCATAGACGCGTGAGCTCCCCGGACCTGCGACACAGCATCCCCTATAGCAGAGGTCCTCAACCCATGGGTCACAACTCACAGGGTCATAGATCAGATATCCTGTGTGCCAGATTTCACATTACGATTCATAACAGTGACAAAATTACAGTTATGTAGTAGCAACGGAACAATTTTATGGCTGGGCGTCACCACAACATGAGTGACCGTGTTGGGAAGCTAGAAAACCACTGCCCGAAGTAAAACACCATGGGGCTGAGATCTAGACTGCAGAAAACCAGCCGGCCTAAACCAACAGACCGTCAGGATTAACCCTAGGGCTTGGGGGCGCATGGCCCAACCCACGAAGGGGCGGGGCTACCTAGGAGGCGGGGCGGGGCGGGCCTTCCCCTAGAGAACGGAGGGCTGGGAATCTCAGGGGATAAATATTTGATGCGCTGAGAGAAAACAGTGAATTATTCATGGGCCCTGTGGGGAGCTGGCCCAGAGAGGCGGTGGGCCAGGCCTGAGTCTGGGTCTCTAGGCAGGTGCGGTGGTTTGTGAAGCCACATGTTATGAGGTGACTGTGTAAGAGGACTAGAGGGTGGTGGGCGCTGGGCTTAAGCCTGGAAGGGTGTGAGAGGGTGCCTGCTCGCATGCAGTGGGCACCGCCATGTCTGCAGGGAGCGGGGCCAGGCCTGGCAACGCCAGTGTTAGAGCAGGTGTCGGGTCTTGGCCTGGGCCAGGAGGGGACTGTGAGGACAGCCAGAACTGAAAAGGAAGAGAGCGCGACCTGGCTGAGCTGTTCTCCCTTGTTCAGGTTGCCCTGTGAAGCCGGGTAGCATCGCCCCTCCCACAGCCATCTCTAACCCTCCACATCTGACTCCAGCCCATAGCCCAGGTCCTGCTAGGAATCTTGCTTCTCTCTCTGGGTCTATCACGGGGTCCTGTCCCACACTAATGAGGCCACAAGGCCAGCTCAGGTCTAGGGGAAGAATCACTCCCTTGTCTCAGCACCTCCCCCTCACACCCCTGCTCAGCTTTCCCATCTGATTGCTGCGTCCTATAGGATACTGTGGGAAAGGGTAGCTCAGCAACAGACCCTCTCTCACGAGCACAAATCCTTGCCTCTGTAGACTCCTGCATGGGACTCCCATGAGTCTCTCTGATGGATAGGAAGTAGTACTGCTGTATGCCCTCCTAGAGAATCTTGGCCTCCAAATGCCTCAGCTGTCTAATCCCACGCTGTTCCCACCAGCTGCTAAACCCAAAGAGCAGTCACGGAGGGAGAGGGAAACATTTCCCCCACATCTGCAGGCACTCCAAATACCAGTGTCAGCACGGTTCCTGCCCCTGTCCTTGACCCCTAGAGCCTGAGATATTCACATGAACCCTCTTGGAGCATCCTTGTCCTGTGAGGCCATCCCAGTGCCGGGGCCAGCCAGCCATACCAAGTTGTTGATGGGTAGGTTATTGGCAGTTACGGGATTCAGCCCACCTCCCCCAACCCACTTCAGTGACCCTGGGTCCTACATGGACTCCTCCTCCAAACCCCTGGACTCTGCACCCACCCTCCGTCCCAGGATGACTCCAGAGGGAGGAGGGGAGCCACCCTTCCTACACACCATGGCTCCCCACTACTGAGTCCTGCAATGGGGGAGGGGCACGGAGGGCTAATCACAGGCTGAACCAGTGACATTTGGTAGTGTGGACGGTGACCATAAATCCTAGGAGTGGAGTGGTGGGAAGGCACGGGTCAGCGTGAGACCCAGCCGGTGGGAGCCATTGGTGCTGTAGAGACAGAGAGCCTTTTGGCTCCCAGGTTGGGGAGCAAAAGTCTCTCCATCACTCTTGCTCCCCAGCACCCCTAACTGAGAAATGTCTTTGATTTTTAATCACTCCGCAGGCCCCATCCCATAATCCTGGACACCCCCCAAATCGCAGTTCCTCTCCTCTAAGCCCTGCGTTCCATCTGCAGGTGTGAGAGCGCGGCTGTATGGCAGGCTGCACAGCCCCACCCTTAGGGGCTGTCCGTAGGGGAAGAGGGCAGCTCAGGAGAGAGGGTAAGCCATGCCATGAGGTCTGGGACCTCTTCCCTGGTCCCCTGCTGGCTGGGCAGAGGACGTACTCACCCGCGGCTCACAATGAGGCGCAGCGACTCCAGGTTGCCATGGTAGGCAGCCCAGAGGGTGGGAGTCATGCCATCCTCGTCGGGGGCATTCAGCTCCTTCCGGGTGGCCTCCTTGAGGAGCTCCAAGTAGCCATCCCTGGCGGCGCGGTGATACTGGTCATTCATGGCCATGGCGCCAAAGGGCACAGAGAAGTGTCCCCCGACGGGGAGGGCAGGCCAGGTTAAGACTGAGACATGGGGTTGAGGGAAGGGGCTGGGCAGGGGCCTGGGCCGCCAGCCCCTGCGGCCGCAGCTGGTGGATGCGGAGCGCCAGGGCCACGACTACAGCCGACTACAGACTACTGGGACATCTGAGCCGCACACCCGGGAGGGAGGGGGGAATCCATCGCTGTCCGGGGAGCCGCCCAGGAGCTTCCCCTGGGTCCTAAACGCCACGCTTTTCAGCACACAGGCGCGACTCAAGTGAAGTCCAGCTCTCTCGTGCCAAAAGCGTCCGCTCTGGCGTTGCAGCCTTCGAGGCCCAGCATGGGAACATTTACTATGTCCCCGGCAGAGCTCCGAGCCCTGGACTCCCTGGTTTCTCCACCGGTCAAAAGGAAGAGGCCAGGGGTTGGAGAACGGTGTCTGGGGGTGGGATTAAGAGGCCGTTCTGGTCCGGAGGATAGTGAGCCTAGAGGCGCCAGGGGACCCGCTGCAAGCCTGGCCTAGAGCGGAGCGCAGCGGTCTGTGCGGAGCGGGCCTACTCGCGTGGGGTCGGACGACAGCTCTCCAGCAGGGGGCGCGAGACGACTGCAGGCCTGCTTGCGGGCGACCGCGTGGGAACCAGACTTTGCGGCATCCCACAAGCATCTCCGGGCAGCAGTAGTAGAGATACTGGAAGACCGAACTTGGATGGCTCTGAGGGCAGGTGGGGAAAGGGAGGGAACTGTTGTCCCGATCTCGGGGCAGCAAGCAAGATCCAAGATAGAGGTGGCTCCCGAGCTGCGGCGGTGTCGAGGTGCAAGCAGGCACGGTGGGGTGGGGGTCAGCCCTGCGGGCTTTGATCTCTGAGCACCAGGTTGCGGTGGACGCTGGGGGCGGAGGACCCTCTGGGTACCGCTGTATGGGGCCGCGCCCGAGAACCCTGGTCCGGGTAGAGAGACAGGGTGAGGGGACTCTTAACAGGTAAATATAAATCTCACCTTATCTGGCTTCCCCAAATTCAGCTCGGAGAAAAGATGGATCATGTGAGTGGGACTGAGAGGTTTATGGAGCCGGGCTCTGGTGGCTGTAAATCACTCTGCCCTCTCCGGTATAAAGCACCGGTCCAGCCCGGCGTGGGAGAGAGGAGACGCTCGCTGCCCCTTGACCCCTAACTTGGTGTCGGCTCCCGGTGCAGCCAGGTGCGTGCCCTGCCAGGGGACTGTCAGATTTGGGGGGGTGGGACCTGTAGGGGGCCCGGGCAGTGCTTCTTCTTTCTGTACTGTATTTCCGGTCCAGGTGGGAGAGAGAGGTGCAGCCTTCAGTTTTTCTCCTGTTCCCCAGCGCTTGGCCCAGCACCCTTGGTCCCCACATGCCGGGCTCCCCAAATCCAGGGGTCATGTGGGAGGAAAGGAGAGTCCCCGGGTTGACTTGGAATCCTATCCTTCCCCCTCCCCCGCCCGCCCCGCCGACCTCGCCGTGATCCCTTCCACCTCCTCCAGTCGCCCCCACCATGTCGGAAGAACACCCCAAGGAGAGCCTGCCGGGGCCTCGGGCCAGCCCCCGCGAGGTGTGGAAAAAGGGCGGCCGCCTGCTGTCCGTGCTGTTGGCTGTCAACGTGCTGCTGCTGGCCTGCACGCTCATCAGCGGCGGCGCCTTCAACAAGGTGGCTGTGTACGACACAGACGTGTTCGCACTGCTCACCACCATGATGCTGCTGGCCGCGCTGTGGATTGTCTTCCACCTCCTCCGCACCGCGCGCCGTCAGGACGCAGTACCCTACCGGGATGCGCATGCTGGCCCCATCTGGCTCCGAGGTGCCCTGGGAGGTGGGGACAGCAGTGGGGTGGGCAGGGTGCGGAGCTGCAGTCCGGGGCTCACGGAGGGCCCGCCGCGCGCGACTTTGGGTAGACAGGTGTGAAGTCCCCTGGGAACTTCGATGTGGTGGAGAGTATGTGAGAGCTCATTGTGGTGAGATGCAGTGAGGGGGCGGAGGCAGGGAGAGGGGTCCCAGGGGATATTGGAGGTGGAGGGAGCCTCGTCGGCCACGAGATGTTCATAGAGAGATTTGACTGTGAGCAAAAAGCAGAAGACAATAGCATCTGACAAGTTCTCTCTAAAGGCCTTGCCCTTACCTGTGCCGTGGAGGGCACACGTTGGATGTCCATCCCTCTTTCTGGTCAATCACGCATTCATTTTCCACCCACCCATTCATCTTTCAGCCCTTCCGTTTGCCCATTCACCTATCCACCATCCATTTATCTGTCTCTCACCCTCTTCATTCATTCACCCATTTATCCATCCACTCAGTAATCTCTCCGTCCATCCATTTGTCCATTAATCACTCATTCATCCTCCCAACCTCTCCACTCATCCATCCACCCGCTCACTTATGCACCCAACCTCCGATCCACCCATTCGTCCATCTTTCAGACACACAGTTGCCCATCCATGTATTCATCCGTCCATTCACTCGTCCTCCCAACCTCTCCACCCAATCCATTCCTCTATCCACTTACCCACCCGCTCCCTAGTCTCACCCTCCCAGCCCCTCACCTTCAGATCCTACCCTCCCTGCAAGCCCTGCCTCCTGCCTATCTGAGACACTGCCCCGCTGGCCCCAATTCCCAGGCGGGCTTGTGCTGTTCGGAGTCTGCACCGTTGTCATGGATGTCTTCAAGACTGGCCACTACTCCAGCTTCTTAGGGTGCCAGTCGGCCATCAAGATCCTGCACCCCATCATCCAAGCTGTGTTTGTCATCGTCCAGGTGGGTAGAAGGAATGTCCCCAAGTGGAGGAAAGCCTGATGCTTAGCAAGCAGTTGGGAGAGCTGAGCTCCACACACACCGCCCCCCCCCCCCCAGCAGTTCAGTAAATGGAATTGGACTGTGGCAGAGATCATATGAGCCCATAAACAAGGAAACACTGACTCGTGACTCGGCGGCTAAATACGAGCTTCTACTTAGGGGGGCCACAATTTTATTTCAGCCTAAGTGGTGCCAGTAATTAACACCGGAGAGGTGCTAGTTGTGACAGCCAGCCCTGTCTGATAGAACCTTGAGTGTCCATGGAGGGCATCAGCCTCTGCCTACCATCAGGCTGTGGCCATGACCATGGCTGTGGCTTGTTTGAGCTCAGCCACAGCTCCGTGTTTGATATTTGCTTAGGAGGCAGGGCATCCTGTAACTTACAGTTTTTCAGACAAGTTCAAATCAATTTCTTTTCTTTTCTTTTCTTTTCTTTTCTTTTGTCCTTTTGTGACTCACTTCATGCAGGCCAGACTGGCCTTGAACTCCTGCTTTCACCTCCCAAGTATGGGAGATTTCAGGAGCGAGCCACACACCTGGCTCTCAGGTTTTTTGTTTTCATGTGTTGTATGAAGACCATTTTGAAAGAGCTGACTAAGCCGAGGCAGGACTGCTCTGCATGGGACCAGAAGAGAAGCTCACTCTCTAGCGTAAGCAAGATGGCCACAGGGATGATGCTGTGCCTTGAAGCACTCCCCCGCCGCCACCGAGATGTCCACAGTGCCACACACGTGTGGCTGTGGCACTTAATGTAACTTTAGTCTTTTACATTTCATAAGTTTGAAGAGTGCTCAGGGAAAATGAAAACACCTCCACAGCATTAAGTCCCATGGCAGGAAGTCAGATGGGGGAGACGCCTTTCCGATCCACGAAGGAAGAAGATAGCAGAGATGTGGAAAAAGCATGCAGAGGTGTGGACAGGACAATCTGGATTTCAAAGTTCCAGGCCAGCTTAGTCTACACATGAAGTCCCAGGTCCCCCAGGGCTGCCCAGAAAAACCCTGTCTCAGCAACAACAAAATCCTCAAAGACT